AACCGATCGCATTGCCGTGGGACTAGGCATCGGAATTGCACACCGTCCTAAGGCTACCATGCGCAGCTGGATTATTTGAATCAAGGACCGTTTACATTCCCAGCGAGTAGTCGGGCGTCGTGTATCGCATGCCATGTCTAAATTGTCCCATAAACTACTCAGGACAGACAAGATGTATGCTTGGTCCGCGCATATGCAAAAATAAGCGGGAGGTACAACGGGGTGACACATCATCGCAAGTGGTCGCCCATACCTACGAGACCGGTTACGAGTTTAATTTCGCAACTGCGGGAGTAATCGCGCACGCTGGCAACAAAACAGGCCGCGAATTGATTGAAGCCTAGACTTCAGATGAGAACTCAGTTAATCGATTTATTGATTTGACGCTGGCATACATCGCGTTGCGCAGGCTCTCCGGAATGTTGCCACAGTTGGTTGACTGTCCCCCTCTTCCCCCTCCCCCCATAGCGGTTAATTGGCCCCTGCGTCCTATAACTGTTGCTTATCTTTCGTTTACGCCTTTTATCGCAGACGATGGACTCTAGAAAGGGCCCGAAATTTCAGACAAATAAATGTATGATTCCAGTGATTGCAACGTCTTCTACTTCTCTATCTAGGGTAGTTCCATCGAAAGAAGAAGTGATCGTATACAGTCAGAAGTCGATAAGACTGAGTAGGTTGGACAGTTTAATGTACAAGAAGGAGCTAACCAATGCTCTGCAGAAACAAGCTGCTTACAGTAAGCAAGCCAGTTGATGTGTGTGTGTGTATTGAGGAGGGTGGGACATGCCGGCAAGTCACCAGTTTTCGAGGAGCGTTAAGGCTAATGAAGTGCTCAACTTCTAACGGTTACGATCTTTGAGGCCCGGTTCCTTAGGAGAGGAGGGAAGTCTTAGGGAGTCCAGAGTGTTAGAAAAAATATACCGTGTACGGAAAGACATGACGTTCGACCGAGAGGGCCATGTGAAAAAGTTGGGTCGTCATAGCGGCCAATAACGCTTCCTCCGTCTGCACCCTGACGGGCGGAATCCCGAGTGAGGTCCAGTGGCAGCCACCGCCTTGAGGTCTTCGTTTATGCAGCCTTGGAGGTGATTGGTTGGACCACGCGATTTGAGCGTACCGGCGTAGGTGTGTTTGTAG